TACCGTGGAATTTTCCAGAGTCTACATGATATGTGATTTTACAATAGAGAATGCAGCAGATATGAGAATCCAGCTGTTTTCCATTAAACCAGACATTAAAGAAATTTGTAAAACTTTAAAACAATGGCATAGTACTCTCTAATTTTTTGTCTTAGAAAATAGTTATTTATGTTTTAAAATGTATATGTTAACATCATGAGTTTATTGTTTTATTTTTAAATAAATTAATAAGTGATTTCTAAATTTCTCAGTTTTAACTACTTACACAGTAACTAAATGTTAGGCATAACTCACATAAACAAGAGCTCTTTGAGGTTCTTAATATATTTTTTTTAACTTTCTAGAAGTCCTGAGACCAAAAAGTTTGAGAATTGGTGCTCTGGAAGTGTTGCTGCTTCTAATGATTGTATCTCCTTGGGGAAGACAAAAAATCATATACTCCATGTTTTCCTTCTTCCTGGCTTCCTGACTTGAGATAACATAGAAGTCAAAAATACTAACTAGTGATGAAAGGCAATCAGTGGGTCTAAGCAAAAATAATATTGCCATTTTGCCAATAAAATACACTTAAATGCCTCCTCCCATATGTGCACATGATTATATTATGACTTTTAATAATCTATTATTTTCTCTGAAACTTTTCTTCTGTTATCTGGTCTAGTTCTCCTTTATGGAGTGCCAAATGGTGTTTTGTTTTTGTTTGTTTTGTCTTGCTTTCTTTAGATTTGGACTTAGAACACATGACCACCATTTCTGTTTAAGAAAGCCAGAACAACATTTAATGAGAATCTTTACATAATTAGTACTTGCTAAACCAACACTTGTCAGTCATCTCATTTGCTGTTGTTATTGTGTTGCTATTTTCAGTGTCATTTTCTTCCCAAAGCAGTGGAGCTTCTAAATTGAGTTAGATTAGGGAGGAAAATCAATATTTTCTATTGATCCCAAACTATGCAATTCTTAGGTATGCTCCAAAGCTATTATATGAGATACTCACATCTCTGCCTTTCAAACGCTGCATATACGAGATATAGTATCTTCCTCCTTAGGGATATGGTGGTTTTTTCCACGGTATCATTCGAGGCTGAGTGGGGTCCTCTGTCATTCTCTCGTATCTCCTCCCACTCTCTTATTACCTTCCCTCTCTTCCATTATTCTCCCCTCTTCTCCTTCATTTTTATTTTCCTCTCATCCCCACCCTATAAATCAAGAAATAAGTATTTCTTGAGCACCTGCTTGGGAATCATGACATGGGCAAAGGTATGGACTCTGCTGCCAGATGCCCAGGTCTGAATCTTGACACCACAATCTCTAGTTGTGACATTGTACAGATCTCTTAGCCTCTCTATGCCTCAATTTTCTCACTTCTTGAACAAGAATTATATGATTTACATCACAGAGCTGCTGCTAAGATTAAATAAACTAAGAGATCTAAGGTGTTTATAATAGTGCTTGGAATATAGTAAGTGCTTAGGACATGAATGGTATTATTATCTACCTGATAATGATCTAGTATAAAGAGGGAGCTAGACCTGGTAAGACATGAACAAAAGCAACTTTATGTTTTTCTCACTGTTGTCCTGACACATTAACCCTGTGAATCCATTCTTCTCCTCAATGAATAAAATTTCAGGCCATGCCCATAGTTTTTCTTGTCCCTCTTGGGTAAGGAAAAGACCAAAATTTTATTTTTTACTTTTTTTATTAAAGTATAGTTGATTTATAATGTTGTGTTTCTGCTGTCCAGCAAAGTGATTCAGTTATACATATATACATTCTTTTTTATATTCTTTTCCATTATTGTTTATCTCAGGATATTGAATATAGTTCCCTGTGCTATACAGTAGGACCTTGTTGTTTATCCATTCTATATGTAATAGTTTGCATTTGCTAAGCCCAAATTCCCAGTCCATCTCTCCCCAACCCCTGCCTTGGCAACTACAAGTCTGTTCTCTATGTCTGTGAGTCTGTTCCTGTTTCACAGATAAGTTCACTTGTGTCATATTTTAGATTCTACATATAAGTGATATCATATGGTATTTGTATTTCTCTTTCTGAATTACTTCACTTAGTATGATAATCTCTAGTAGCATCCATGTTGCTGCAAATGGCATTATTCCGTTCTTTTTTATGGCTGAGTAGTATTCCATTGTATATATGTACCATATCTTCTTTATCCATTCCTCTGTCGATGGACCTTTAGGCTGTCTCCATGCCTTGGCTATTGTGAATAGTACTGCTATGAACGTAGGGGTACATGTATCTTTTTGAATTATAGTTTTGTCCAGATATATGCCCAGGAATAGATTGCAGATCATATGGTAATTCTATTTTTAGTTTTTTGAGGAACCTTCATACTGTTTTCCATAGAGGCTGTACCAACTTAACATTCCCACCAACAGTGTAGGAGGGTTCCCTTCTCTCCACACTCTCTCCAGCATTTGTTATTTGTAGACTTTTTAATGATGGCCATTCTGACTGGTGTGAGGTGGCACCTCATGGTAGTTTTGATTTGCATTTCTCTAATAATTAGCAATGTTGAGCATCTTTTCATGACAAGACCAAAATTTAAGACTCATCCAGTTTTAAACTTCTTCCCTTCCCCACCTTGGGATCTGTAATTTATAAACATAGGGGGTAGGAATTCTTGTTAGTTTCTTCTTTTTTTCTTGCTCTTTTTCAACAAGCTAGATGCTGATTGTGGTCCTTCCAGGGTTGGGATGTGAAGGCGATGATGAAGAGTGAGTGGGTTAGGAGATGGAGGGTTAAGACTTGGTCTTACCAGATGGGCACAGTTCTGGGCTGGCACCAGTGATCTATGGGTGTGGCAGGTTACAAATGCCTGTTGTTCTTTCCCTATGAGACACCATTGATAGCTCTACAGAGACTCATTGCAGGACAGTTCTCTCACTCCAGGTGATCTGAGTGGCCCTTCAGCTGCCTACTCTCACCTCCCTCATGTTCTGCTTGCTGTGATGCTGAGATGAGGTGGCATCATCCCAGCAGGAAACACTCCAGCAAAGGGGCCTCTTCTGGGAGACTAGTGTCTGATTCCCTTCTGCACAGTCCACACTGGGCCCATGAGAAATGTGCTTCTTTGTCCAGCTATTATTTGAGGGCAGCTGAATCTCACTGAGACCCTCTCTCCTCAATCACCTGCTCCAAGCATTTTCCAGTTTTTCATGAGTGAGCCAGGTATCAGTCCCTATTTCCCCAAATCACTAAGTGACACATGTCAAGTGACCTTGAAGCTGTTTATCCCCTCTTACTTGGCTTGAGTAGAAAGAAAGAAGGACTTCCTCCCTTCCCCTATGAGATTGGAAAGGAGAAAAACTACAGCACCCTGGCAGCTTTTTCTCTTAACCCAACAGAAAGATAGGCAAAGGATTTGAATGGGCATTTTATGAAAAGGAAAACCAGTAAAGGTACGAAAAGAAGCTAGACTATACCAGTAAACAGAGAAAGACAAACAAAACTTAAGGTATAATTTTTATACTCCAGCTCAGCAAAAGTTAAAAATATAAACTTTGTAAAGATATTAGGAAAACATATACACTTACAATGTTTATGTGAGTAAATACTGATGGAGTCTTTTAGGAAAGTGATTTTGCAGTATATATTAAAATTAAAAGTCTATATACCTTTTAACCCCACCAGACCTGCTTCCAGGTATCTGTCCTAGAGAAACACCAGCAAAAATACTCAAATATCCAAGTACTGACGGTTTATTAATGCATTATTTGTAATTTTTAAAAACTTGAATGTCCATCAAAATGGGAATAGCAAAATAAAAAGTGATGGACATCAAACAAAAACTGGATGCAAGGATTAAATAAAATAAGCTGTGGTGACATGTGGGAAAGATTTCAAAGACATGTTAAGTGAAAAAAAGATCAGTGTAAAAACTTTTATTAATGATACATTGATGTAAGAAAATGGAAAAATCAGGGATATTTCTTTGTATACATATACTCATATTTGTAAATGCATAGAAAAAAGTTCAGACCATTTCAAACTGATGAATGATTGCTTTTGGAGAGGACCTGAGGCTTCCCCTGGAAGAGAAGCAGGGTCAGGTAGAACTTTTAACATTCACAATGAGAGTATGTTACATGTTTAATTACACATGATTTACAAAATAATTTAAAATGTAATAAAATGAATGGAGTTGTTAGAGGTAATTTTTAAGATAATCTCAAGTATAATACTCTGTACTGATAGCTGGATATACTAATCCTCAGAAGAGTCTATGAGAGCATTCATTGTCATTAAACAATATTTTTCATATTAAGAGTAGTTCTCTATAATAATTACTCACATCTAAATGTCTGTTCAAATGATAATTAAGAAATCTTTGCTATGGTTGTGAACTTCTAAGATGACACATACAATTATGCTTTTCAGATAATAAATCAGACAAATTCAACACAGAGCACCTTGACTTTATTATAATAATAATTAGCCAAGGGCTTCCCTGGTGGCGCAGTGGTTGAGAGTCCGCCTGCCGATGCAGGGGACACGGGTTCATGCCCCGGTCCGGGAAGATCCCACATGCCGCGGAGCGGCTGGGCCCATGAGCCATGGCCGCTGAGCCTGCGCGTCCGGAGCCTGTGCTCCACAATGGGAGAGGCCACAACAGTGAGAGGCCCATGTACGCAAAAAATAATAATAATAATAATAATTAGCCAATTTGAGCTGATATGGTAATATGCATATGAGAACTGCAACCAATATTCTCTGAGAAGTAAATATTTTATTTCTGGCAGTTGGTTCTATACAATTTAAATTGCATTTCACTTTTAGGAAAATATGTATAAGCTATTCTCAAATGACATATAGTTTAAAACACATTTTCCCTTATGGTGTTTATTTTTAAATCATAGTATGTGTGTTGTTGAATCACATAACTTAGTAAAAAATTATTATAATTCTGGAAAGATTAAATGTTGGAACCATAAATATAATTATATGAATGTTACTTAATTATTTTCCCTGTTTAGTACCTACATGAAAATGGGATTGTCCATCGTGATCTCAAACCAGAGAACCTTCTCTATGCAACTCCAGCCCCAGATGCACCACTCAAAATTGGTATGTTTCCTGATGTCTTATGATCCCTTTTCCTAAAGCAGAAGAAATTTATTCCACGGAATTTGTAAATATTGCTCTGTCCAGTTTTGCCTCCATTCAATTTCCTCAAATATTGGTGTCTGTAAAGGAATAATGCATTGTTTTGGAAGTCTGTGCTCTTTCCTGGAATATTTACCTGAATTAGTGCATAGAAGGTGGTGCTTCATTGCTGGACACACAAAGGAATCACAGCTCTTGGAAATGACAGGGATTTCAGGAGGTGACCTTGTATTTTGTAGATAAGTTTATATAGTAGAAAATCACAGATTACATGACACTTCTTATTGCACAAGTTAGTTGGAGCTTAATTTTAGGTAATGAAGAACTTTGACACAAAATGCTTAGTACATATCAGTGAATTTGGGCTCTGAATCATTTGTTTATATGAACAGAGATAAATTGAGATCTGTATTTCCCAAAGTACACTCCACAGAACACTGGTCCTCAGTTGAGTGGTCCCTTTGGTGGGGGGAATGGTTTGTGGAGGTGCTAAGTTTGGTCAAGTAAGTTAAGAAATGCCAACTTACAGTTAAACAAGATTTTTATTTCTGCAGGACTTTTGAGAAAGTTAAAAATGCTAATGTGTAGAGTGACATCTAAATTAGTGTCTGTGAGGCTTTTTCCAAACCTTATTTGACTCTGGAAACCTTGGTTTGGTTTTTTTCCCCCAGTAAGCACTCTGAAGAACTACAAAGATGGTTTGGGAAGTTCTGATCTACCCAAAGAGATCATTAAATCATCATTTTAGAAAAACATGTATTAAATTTTACTTTCCATGTCCCTTACAGAGCAAATCTTTGTTTGCAAAAATAATTATAAAATTTATTTTAGGTGAAATCTCCTTAGTAGAATCTGTACTAAATCCTCTAAAGGGCATTGCTTTTTTGGCGCTTTTATAATGCTGATCTGATGAGTTCACTGCATTTATAAATGTTAACACTTTTGAAAATTAAGTTGTACATATCATGGAAGAGCTCAGACAACATAATGTGCTTTATGAATGCAAGAACCTAAAGAAAAAATACTGAAGTCGTGCTGGGCAGCCAGCTTGTTCTCATAATCACTCCTGAAAGGCAGTGGGCAGCAGGGAGGCTTCCATTTCCTTTAACATCACTTTCAAAGATTTTATCCTTCAAGAAATTTCTTTAAATGGATGGATAGATACTAATTTAGACAGGAGAGCCTTTCTTTCTGAAGGACTTCCTGCTGCTTTTTCTGATAAGGATCAGCAGCACCTCCATGGAAATGTGGGTTTATCTTTGAAGTCTAAAATGGCATCAATTCTGTACCTGTCTCTCTTGAAGAATGGCCTTGAACTGTTTCATTATGTTTCCTGGGTGAGAAGGATGTAGCCCAGTAAATAGACCATAATGGTAGCAACTTTTGTTAATGTTTTATCTAGGTACCATTCTGAGAAATAAATAAGAATTTTTGCACAAAGTTATATGTTCCTCATACAAGAGTAAATTCTTATCCGTCAAATATACTAGAGAACAAAATTACTTATTTTGAAGCAGAATAAACCTTTGATATTTCTGTTCATTTTACTGACATTTACAAAAGTCTAATTTTTTATTTTGATTTCTTCCAGTGGATTAAAAGTTCTGAATTATATCAATAATTCTATACTGTTCTTTAGAGTTAGTTTCAAATCTCAGAATTAATATTAGACAAAATATATCTGTCACAACTATTATTTCAAGAAGAAATAGCTTATTTACTGAAAGCTAGTAATTATAGAGAAGAGCATAACATGTATTTGGGAGTCATGGGGTATTTTTTTTCCAATTTAAAGCAAGGCATGAATTATTATTTAGTTTTTTTTAGTTTACTGTCCCAGGTGACTGGCCCCTATCTATATCCACCCCAACGTCAAATACAAACAAATAAATAAGTTTTACTTTCAATAACAAAAAAGTAATCTGTCATCATATAAAAGCTGAGAAATGACTCACTTCATTAAATTTTTTTCTTATCTCAGCTGATTTTGGGCTCTCTAAAATCGTGGAACATCAAGTGCTCATGAAGACAGTATGCGGAACCCCAGGGTACTGCGGTATGTTCTTTAATACCGATATTTTACTTTTATTGTATTCAATGATCTGATCTTTTTTAACTCCTAATATCTCTATTTGAAACACAATTTGATGTAAGTCTCCATGAGGAAGGCATATATAAATGACATTCAGACCACCTGTTGTTCTGCATGAGGGGTTCAATGATGTTGATTTCAGGGCACCCCTGTTAAGACAGCAGGGGGGAGAGGGGCCCTCAGAAGGAAGACTGGGTGTTCTGTACCTGCTTTTAGGTAGTAGCTACTCTTGGACCCACTCAGGAATAGAAAGACAGTCACTGGGGAAAAGGGCAGGGAAACAGCACTGTGATTGGGATTAAAGCCATGAGCCCTTTGTTACTTTACTTATTTGCTTTTACTCAGGAAGGTGTGTGAGGAGAGCATATATCATTAATTCCGATGGTGTATAAGACTACAGTGAGAGAGGGGTAGCCCATAGTTCTCATGGATGGCACTGGCCTAGCCTCACTAGGACAACGGCTTTAGGTGGGGTTTCACCGCCAGAGTCCCCCAGAGATGAGCTGTGGGACAGTCCTCCCATCCTCTTGCCCAGTCTCCCAGAATGGGCTGAAGGTACCCTGAGTACAGTTCATAATCCAGAGACAGAACAATAGCATTTGATCCAAGCCAGCATGAAGCTCGCCCTTCTTTCCTTGACAGCTATATTAATCTGGGAACAACCTAAAAGCCAATAAAGCTTGCAAAAATTATCAAGAATTTCTAAAGTTTTTCTGACTAATGAATATGTCACAAATTAATTAAAATCTGGATTACAAAGAAAAGAGACAAGACTTCAAGTTACCAGTCATAAGATTAGCTATCATTCTCTCTTAGGATCATCGTCTTTTTACACAAATCTTCCTTCACTCGCTCATCTCTTCAGCAAAATCACCTGCTGTATTTCAGGCCAGTGCTTGGCACCAGGAAGATGCATTTCTTGCCTCCACCCCCATCCCCAGGGGTTCACAATCTATAGGGGAACAGACATGAAACCAAAAAAGTATCGCATCTTAGGAAATACCAGGTTATGCATATGGAAAGGCCTTTATGGAGACACAGGAGAAGGGTGGTATTTGGAGTTATCTGTCTTATTCTTCTATGGCATTTATATTTGTTAGTCACTCCACCTCAGAAATAGGCACATAAGAACTACATTACTAACTCATTGTAACAACCTTTGAATTCATAGAAATCAGACTGGAGAGGTGCAGTAAGATAGTCACTGAAGCAAATGTATGATTAAATTCACAGAATTTTAGTGCTGAAAGAAACTTTAATATTCATTTACTAACATTCTCATTTTACTAAGGTCAAAAGAGTATGACTTCCCCAAGATTCCCCATCTAGTTATTAGTGGATCAGGGATGAGAATCCTGGTATACAATGTCCTGAAAACAGATTTATAGAATTCCCTATTCAAAAAAGCAACATAGATAAATCAGTATAGTTTTCCCTCATAGAAATATTTATCATTTATTGCTTTTAGTTTAAAATATTTTCTATTTTAATTTTTGAAGCCTCAAAAGTATTACTTGGTCATTGTAAGAAGTGAAAATCCAAACATGTGTAATCAATATTAACAGCCTCATTCATTCTTCCACACCAGTCTCCATGTTTCCATGTTCACATAAACATTTTATAATTTTGATTTTAACTAGCTAGTTTCCCTGGTCTAAAATAATATTTTAGATTACTTTCTTGCAGCTGAATTGTTCATAAATCCAGTAAGTGCACAGAATTGTGTACCTATCTTTCTGTTAAATCTTTACATTGTGCCAAATATTCTTCTTCTGGATCTTAAGATCCTTGAGGACAGGAGTAATTTATCAATTAGGAGTAAATTCAGAAAACCAAAAATAACTATGGCTTAAACAAGACAGAAGTTAATTTCTCTGATGCTAGAGGTCTAGAGATAGGCAATCCTGATGGGTTCCACAGCTATGGCTCTGCAGGTGTGGTGGATCTCAGTGTCAGGGATTCAGACTTTTCCTGTCTTACTCTCCCATTCCTGAGTATGTTTCCTCACAGTCCAAAATGGCTGCTTGAAATCAGTCATTATATCTGCATTCTACACAACCAGAAGGAAACAAATCTAAAAAAGAGTACACATTTTCACTGTTAAACAGGCTTGCTGAAGCCCCACATGTCACTTCCACTTATATCTTATTAGCCAGTACTTAGTTATAGCCTCCACACTGCCAGGGAAACTGGCAATATGTCCCTTGGCTGCACGTGCTGCTGTCCCAAATGAATTCAGGGTTCTATTACAAAGAATGAATATTGCATTAGACGACTCACTATCTCTACCACAGGCTTATGAGTAAGATTTTCATTCTCAGAAAAAAATGTGAGGACTTCCCTGGTAGTCCAGTGGTTGAGAATCCGCCTTCCAATGCAGGGGACGTGCGTTCGATCCCTGGGCTGGGAACTAAGATCCCACAAGCTGCAGGGCGGCTAAACCCGCATGCTCTAGAGCCCACGCGCCACAACTAGAAAGAAGCCCGCATGCCGCCACTAGGACCTGATGCAGCCAAATAAATTAATAAGTAAATAAATATTTTTTTAATGTGGAAACCATTGCAGTATGTTCCCTATAGGCATGCTCTTTTTCATTTTCCTTAGAACTGTTAGCAGACAGCCTATCACCCTTCCCTTCTAATGATGCCGTGTGAACTTTTCCTTTCTCTAATTCATATGTCCTTATTTGTCCTCATCCTGAATTTCTTTCCTGCCTCCAGATCCTGCCAACAATATGGAGAAAAATAAGAACCTTGAATTTAGTACTATGTGCCAAATGGGGTTGCCTGTTTGTGACCACTAATTGCTGACCAATTGACAGAAGCATTGAAAGAGGATTGAGAAAAGAATGAGACAACAAATTAAGGATTTCCACAAGAATAAAGCTGGTGGACAATTTAGTAATCATTATCTAATACTGAACAATAAGTATTCCAGGGAGGTAGGTAGGTTGGAGAAATTCTCTGAGACTTGAGCAGCCCTGAAATTGAAGGATCAGGGAGAACTTACCCTAGTGATCTCTCAGGGTCCCTGCCGTGACTAAGAGATAGCAGTCCTTTCAGTGGCTTTAATAATAGTGATAAGAGGGACTTCCCCAATGGTCCGGTGGTAAAGAATCCACCTTCCCATGCAGAGGATGCGGGTTCGATCCCTGGTTGGGGAAGTAAGATCCCACATGCCGAGGGGCAACTAAGCCCGCGCGCCACAACTACTGAGCCCATGCACCTCAATTAGAGAGCCTGCGTACCACAAACTACAGAGCCCATGCGCTCTGGAGCCCACGCGCCATAACTAGAAAGAGAAAACCTGCACGCCGCAACTAGAGAGAAGCCCGCATGCCGCAACGAAGATCCCACGTGCAGCCAAAATATAAATAAATAAATAAATAATAATAATAGTGATAAGAGCAAATCTTTCTTGCAGCAGTACAGAATGGCCATTCTATGAATGAATGATTGATTCATCCACTGATAAAATGAACATTGAATGTCTAATAGACTCCATGTTAGTCACTGAGATTATAAGAGTGAACACAGTATGATCTTGCCCTTTAAGGATTTCATAGGCTATAAAAGAAGAAAGACCGGTACACATAAATCAAAATTTGTTGTAATAAGTTATATATTTATCTGAGCCAAAGGCTCAAGCATTTAGAGGGGAGGGAACAATTAATCCTTCTTAGATGGGCCTTTACAGAGGAGGGGTACTAAAGGATTAGTAGGAGTTCAACAAGTGAAGAGGTGGCCACAAGGCATTGTTTGTCAGCAAGCACAGGAAGAGAAAAGTCAGAGGAGTGGTAGCATCTGAAAAGTTCAGGGACTGTTAGTTACTTTGTCACTTTGCATGACTGGAACATAGAGTCTTTGGTACAGAGAATACAGATGGACTTGGAAAAGTAGGATGGACCAAATGTTAAAAGAATCTGTACATTAGGCTAAGGAATTCAGACTTGCTTTGGTAGATAATAGTGATCCAGCAAAGGTTCTTAATCAGGGCAATTATATTTTTAAATCAAACCTGTATTTTATAAATACCTTGATAATGACATTATGACAGATGGATTTGAGAGAGAAAAGAGATCAAAAGAAGACAAATTAGAAAGCTATTGTAAATGCTCTTTCCTGTCACTCCATAAACAGCTTCTCAGTGAATAATGTATTCAATCTACTCCTAAATCCAATCGTTTATTTTTTTAATATAAAGTTATTGTAGGGCTTCCCTGGTGGCACAGTGGTTGAGAGTCTGCCTGCCGATGCAAGGGACACGGGTTCGTGCCCCGGTCTGGGAAGATCACACATGACGTGGAGTGGCTGGGCCCGTGAGCCATGGCTGCTGAGTCTGTGCGTCCGGAGCCTGTGCTCTGCAACGGGAGAGGCCACAACAGTGAGAGGCCCGCGTTCCGCAAAAAAAAAAAAAAAAAAAATTATTGTAAAAATACTATTTCAGATGCTTGTCTTTGCCATCTTATAAGACAGGCCCATCTTACAGATAACGCCATCTCATAATGGAGGCTTATTTTCCATTTGCTATTTTTTTCCCTGCAGATATCCATATCACCCTTGAGGCTGTGTAATGGGGAAAAAGGGAATTGAGTGGGTGAACAAGATCAAGATAATCCTTCCACTCTGCTATAGGTAGAGACTCATCAGGAAGTAGTAATTTGCTATATTATACAGAAAGGAGGAGAAAGCAGCAAGGAAGCTGGGGCAGGGGTGGAGATTGAGAGAGAAAATATAAGTGCTTTGTGGACTCTAAAGTGGTAAACATATGTGTGGAATTACTATTATATAGGCTGAGGCAGGCTTAGAAATCAAAAACAATAAAGTTCAATGTATTTAATTTAAAAAGTAAAGTTCATAATATATATAAAGAGGGAGGACTTCCCTGTTGGTGCAGTGGTTAGGAATCTGCCTGCCAGTGCAGGGGACACAGTTTCAAGCCCTGGTCCGGGAAGATCCCATGTG